ACTTTGCCTGGTTACGGAGGAGGTTGTAGGTTGGATCCCGACCCTGACGCCTGCTGTACATTTGTAGTTTTGTGTGTCTCTCTCTCCTTCTCTCATCATCATCACGGTGGCTAGGAGATGTTAACTACTTCGCCTGGTACGGAGGAGGTTGTATGTTGGATCCCGACCCTGACGCCTGCTGTATATTTGGAGTTTGCGTGTCTCTCTCTCTCATCATCATCATCACGGTGGCGAGATGTTAATTACCTCGCCTGGTACGGAGGAGGTTGTAGGTTGGATCCCGACCCTGACGCCTGCTGTATATTTGGAGTTTTGTGTGTCTCTCTCTCTCTCTCATCATCATCACGGTGGTGAGATGTTAATTACCTCGCCTGGTCCGGAGGAGGTTGTAGGTTGGATCCCGACCCTGACGCCTGCTGTATATTTGGAGTTTTGCGTGTCTCTCTTTCTCTCATCATCATCATCACGGTGGCTAGATGTTAACTACCTCACCTGGTACGGAGGAGGTTGTAGGTTGGATCCCGACCCTGATACCTGCTGTATATTTGGAGTTTGCGTGTCTCTCTCTCTTTCTCTCATCATCATCACGGTGGCGAGATGTTAACTACCTCGCCTGGTACGGAGGAGGTTGTAGGTTGGATCCCGACCCTGACGCTTGCTGTATATTTGGAGTTTGTGTGTCTCTCTCTCTCTCATCATCACGGTGGCAAGATGGTAACTACTTCGCCTGGTACGGAGGAGGTTGTAGGTTGTATCCCGACCCTGACGCCTGCTGCTGTATATTTGTAGTTTTGTGTGTCTCTCTCTCTCTCATCATCATAACGGTGGCTAGGAGATGTTAACTACTTCGCCTGGTACGGAGGAGGTTGTATGTTGGATCCCGACCCTGACGCCTGCTGTATATTTGGAGTTTTGTGTGTCTCTCTCTCTCTCATCATCATCACGGTGGCGAGATGTTAACTACCTCGCCTGGTATGGAGGAGGTTGTAGGTTGGATCCCGACCCTGACACCCGCTGTATATTTGGAGTTTTGTGTGTGTCTCTCTCTCTCATCATCATCACGGTGGTGAGATGTTAACTACCTCGCCTGGTATGGAGGAGGTTGTATGTTGGATCCCGACCCTGACGCCTGCTGTATATTTTGAGTTTTGTGTGTCTCTCTCTCTCATCATCATCACGGTGGCGAGATGTTAACTACCTCGCCTGGTACGGAGGAGGTTGTAGATTGGATCCCGACCCTGACGCCTGCTGCTTTATATTTGGAGTTTTGTGTGTCTCTCTCTCTCTCTCATCATCATCACTGTGGTGAGATGTTAACTACCTCGCCTGGTATGGAGGAGGTTGTAGGTTGGATCCTGACCCTGACGCCTGCTGTGTATTTGGAGTTTGCATGTCTCTCTCTCTCTCTCCGTTGATTTTTGTTTTCTCCGGGTCCTCCGTTTTTTTTCCCTCAACGTTGACAAACGTGCATTTAGAGTATTTTGGCTGTTATAAATTTCCACGCGATGATACGCCGCTTCGTTGAGCTCATCGTTGTGATAGCCCGGTCGCTTCTGAGAAAGAGCTGCATAGCTGACTTGGGGCCTTACACCTGGAGCAGAGCGGAGAGGTGCGACGCGTGGGAGGAGGGAAGAGAGAGACGACAAGGCACGGGGAATGAGAGGAAAGGGTGGGAAAGGGAACGGAGAAACGGGGGCACAGAGGTCAGGAGAAGGTGAGGATGGGGAGGAAGAGGCTTCATCAGGGCCTCGACGCTGCTGCTGCTGCTGCTGCACGGGGGAGGAGCGGCGTCTGTTTTCACAGTGGGCGGCGACAGGGAAAAGGGGGAGGGGTTCATAGTGGGGGTGGCCACATAGCAACCACGTGATTTATAGGAGGCTTGAGCTGAAATATACACAGAAATATGGTTTACAAACTTTCAATTAACGGTTTTCCGCCCCCCCCCCCCCCCCCCCCCCGCTATTCCTCTGCAACGGTCGTTTATCTTTTGTCGTTCTCGTCATTTTCGGATGTGATTAAGTTGAACACGGGGAGGCAACCGCAAGAGCTGGCGTGGTGCACGTTGCACTTGAGCAGAGCCATAGAGAGAGAGGGAGGGGCAGAGCCAATGGCTAGCAAAACCAAGATGTTCATCATAAAAATATCTAGGTCAGGAGGCAGCCGATATCCGACTAACTCAGGCGCAACAAATTTAATTGCCTCGAGGGGCAAAATGAAAAATATAACACGCCACGTGAACTGGAAGCAATTGATTCCTGCGCGCCTGATTCAATCCGTGCCGAATCGATTCCAATTGCCCGGCCCTTGCATCTCCTACTAAATGCCCCGGCGGGGGGCTTCCTCCTCCCTGCTGTGGTGTGGAGAGGTGTTGGGTGATGTGGTGTGGCGTGGAGTGGTGTGGAGTGGCATGCTGTGGCCTGGAGTGGCGTGGCGTGGTGTGGAGCGACGTTGGGTGGTGTGGTGTGGAGTGGTGTGGCTTGCTGTGGCGTGGAGCGGAGTTGTGTGGCAGTGGTGTGGAGCGACGTTGGGTGGTGTGGAGTGGTGTGGAGGGGTATGCTGTGGCGTGGAGCGGAGTTGTGTGCCGTGGTGTGGAGCGGACGTTGGGTGGTGTGGTGTGGAAGTGGTGTGGCTTGCTGTGGCGTGGAGCGGAGTTGCGTGGCGTTGAGTGGTTTGGTTGGCATGGGCCCTGGTAATAGGAAATTAAATATTGGTCGTCATCCCCCACCCTCCCTGTACAATTGATTCCCCTCTCCATAGCCAGCACTTGGAACCCTCCGGCCTTGCGGGCCTCAGCGCTGCAGTCGCACCGCCTGCGCACTCGATAGCCACGCTTGACGGTGCCGTTGCTACCCGGCAGGCAGTGAAGGGCAGTTGAGCAGAACCCGTGACCGCACCGTGCTCACCACCGTCGCAGACCCGCGCCGCTCGGCAGGGTGAAGCAAATATCCCCCACGTCTCGTGGGTGGGGTTGTGCGGGGGCTCATCCAGCAGTGTATTTTGACGCAGGGGATGTTTGCGCGCGCGACTCTGAGCCGCAAGACTCCGTCCCCTGGAACGTTCCCCCCGCCGCTCGGCGATTTTTCGAAGCGGCGGCTGCAGGAGGGGCCTCGCGCGCGAGCGCTGATTCCGCGCGGGTTTCAAGTTTCAAGTTTAATTTATTAGGTATAGCCCTGTGAGTCATTCGGCTCTTGAATCGGGTGCAACCGCAACAAACAAAAAAACAAAAACATGAACAATAAAACATCTTAAAGTGACTATGTGCAAACAGAAAATCCAAGAAAAGACAGCAAAATATTGCAGAAAAAGCACCGTACACCAACGCTGTGTGCAAAAATCCCAGTGGGATGCAAGTCAAACAACAACAATAACCACAAGACAACTTAGATTAAGGCCATCAGTTTAACTCCGTACTACAACAAACAAACATGGCCAAACAAAACAACTTTTCGAAAATCACCAAAATAAAGCCATAAAAGCAATGAGACAGTGATCATAGGAACTGTGGCCGAATTTTCACAATAAACGACGTGAATAACATGTACTACCAAACTCTGCAGCCTCGTCCCGTAACGCCTGACGGGCGAGGCAGGCGCTGGCTTGTGCGGACTGGCCCGGGCGCTGCCGATGAGCGTTTATGATTAAGCGGCGAAGCCGGCCGCTCGCGTCACGCACTCTCTCCCTTCGGGGAATATCCGTCGCGTCGGAATATCGATTGACTGACTGACCGTTTGATTTCTTGTTTTTTTCTCTTTCACACTTTCTCTCTCTCGCGCGTACTAGCGGGCAAGAGGAGTTTAGAATTTCCATATTTTTAATATGTTCCTTTGGGAGTCAGACTTCCCTACCCACCACCCCCACACGTCCACCCCCCTCCCCCCTCACCAACCGAGCTGTTCTGAGCGTCTAATCCGCCGCGAGCACGGCGGCTGATTGATACAGCGGCGCCATCGGTTCCCGTTATAAATCAGCGGCGCTCGTATTGGATGCGGGCGGGCGTGATTTAGTGGCGGGCGGCGGTGGCCCGTCTTGTCGCTCCCGCTCGTTGAGCTTTTTAAAAAAAATAATTTTGCCTTCGTTTGTGGCGGCGGCGGTGGAAGTTGGCTGTGGGTTTCGATGCGAACTAGCGGAATCCTGGGCCCCAGGCCCTCGCGGCCCGCATCCCCCCCGGCCGTGGTCGACGTCGGTTCGTGCTCGCGAACGAGGCCAGCTCCTTCCGGCTCTCGCCCGGTGGAACCGAATGGAACGACGAACGACGTGGGATCGGCGGTTGTTAACGGGCGCAGAATCGGAATCGGAATCTTTTATTGAGACCGCGGGAGGAGGAGGAGTAGGAAAATCCGACGAGCTCTTCTTCAACGGATGTTCCAGGGCGGGCGCGGTGGGGGGGTTGGGCAGGGGGGGGCGTTCAGCAAGTTGCAACGACGAACGGCGCGGCAACAAAAACAACGATAGGAAGGGCAAAGTAGGGAAGGAGGTAGGCGACTTACTAAAAATAAATAAATAGGAAATGTTGTGTTATATAAGTCCGATTTATGAAGCTTGGACAAGGCAGCAAAAACAACAAGACAGTCTCAGACCACACCAAGATAATGCCCCACACTAACAGCCCCCCAATAAAAATGGCACATTAACGTTGAACTATCGATACGCGTTTAATGGTCAGAGTCACAAATCACATTTGCAGATCTGGCCGGTATCCAGCACCGATCTTCTGCTTCACGATGTTTTTTTTTTCAGGAAGATTTGCGGGTTCGACTTACGTCGATCCGCACTTAGGGCAGGTCGCCAGTCGCCACGCCTGTGTCGTTACTTACTAACCTCAACAATGTTTTACTTTACCAGGTAAGGCCCCACTGAGCTATGCAGCTCTTTTTTCAGAAGCGACCTGGCTATCACAAATGACAGCTCACAGAAGTGGCTTTTCATCACGTGGAAAACGAATAGCAACCAAATACTCGAACCACGTGATTTTTTTTGCTAAATGTGGAGGCAAAAACCGAAGGACCCGGAGAAAAATACACGCGACCACGCAAACTCCAAATATACAGGCATCACGGTCGCGATAAAATCTACAACCTCCTGTATACCAAGCGAAGGAGTCAACATCCCAGGCGCTGGTTCTACGCGCAAACAGACGTACGGTACGGCGCCCGGTCGATTTACAGGCTTTACCCGATTAAACAATAAAAAAAAAATGTTGGCAAAATCTACCGCTGGATGAAGGCCTCGTCACACCGTTCCAGTCATTCCTGTGGGGGGGGGGGGGGGAGAGGAGGTGGAAGGGGTTGTTTGACCATACTTCACCACGCTGGACATTGCAGGTTGGTGAAGGGAGGTGGGATGGGGGAGTGGTTCGGACATCGGGAATTAGTACGAACTGAGGCATCGTTACGCCGGCGATAATCATAATCACGCCATTATCATTATCATCGTTGCCATCGTTGCCATCTCTGTTTCTTGCTGCTGCTGATGTTGTCCCGAATGAACGACCGCAGAACTGCATCGCCACCCACGAATCGAACGGCATCGACATCATCATCGCCCTCATCCTCAACGACATCAACCCCCTGGGGAAGCAGTGCATGGGGCTTGTGTTGGAGCTCAAGGTAAGCTGCCCCCCCCCCTTCCCCGCCCCCCCCCCCGGCTTCAGCTGTAACTTGCCTGTGGCCCGTGATTGATTGGCGCGTAACGTTCCAGCCGTTGCACGGTCGGGTGAATCCTCGCGATTCGGGAGCAATGCAGGGGCCGTGGTGTAATCAAATCTCGTCGCTTTTTCTCGACGGATTCTGCGGCGCGGCGGATCCGCGGAGTAACTGCGGCCGCCCCCCTGTACGCACGCCAGCCCGCCCGCGTGCGTGCGGTGCGTGCATGCAGTGCGTGCGGTGCGTGCATGCAGTGCGTGCGGTGCGTGCGGTGCGTGCATGCGGTGCCTAGCAGGGGAGTAACGGTAGCGGGTGAGCGCGCTGCACTACCGACCCCGGCGACCCCGCGGTTCGATTCCCGCTCGCGGCCAACATCGCCGAGGAAAATATGCACCGGTCCTTTGGGCCTCCCCCTAGGTCGACTCGGCCTTAAATGAATATGGGGGGGGGGAGACAAAGGCGGCCAGGCGTGGGGATTGCCGCACCACCGCCTCGTGCGCTTGCTCGTTGCTCTTGCCCCCGACGGTTTGTTTGTAGTATTTGTCTGCGATGATCAGCCACTACGTTGCGCCGTCATTTGTGATGGGCACGTCGCTTCTGAAAAATAAGCGAATGGTGCAGTGGGTAATTTTAGTTGTGTATGTATACATTTTTACGTGGAGGGGGGGGGGGGGGCGGTAAGTTTTCCTTTAAAAAATATGAGCAGAAGATCGGTGCTGGATACCAGCCACAGTTGCAAACGTGCTTTGTAACATTGAGCCTGACCCATGTGCCGATGGTACAATGTTAATGTGCCGTTGTATTGAGGGAGGGCCGCTGCGTGGCGTCATCTTGGTGTGGTCTGGGACTGTGTTTGCCTTGTCCCAAGCTTCATAAATCGAACTTATACAATGAATGAATCAATGGGTTTATTTGTTTATATTTAGTGACTTATATTCTTGGTTCTTTCGGTAAAGTCATGTAGAAGGGAAATAATAAAATAAAAAATATTACAATTTCAGATTTTCCTTCTACGTGACTTTACCGAAAGGACCAAGAAGATGAATCCCTGCAGTCACGAAAGCTTTAAATACAAATTTTAACTCCACGTTAGTTTATTAACGCACAAGTCGTAGCAGTGGTGATGGTGGTGGTGGTTAGTCGGGCGTTTCGCGATCAATATCATCCGTAACATAGGTAGTTTATTTCGATGTAAAGCTTTCGTGACTGCAGGGATTCATATTCTTGATTCTTTCGGTAAAGTCACATAGAATTTTTTTATTTTTTTATTTTATTATTTCCCTTCTTCTACGTGACTTTACCGAAAGAACCAAGAATATGAATCCCTGCAGTCACGAAAGCTTCAAATCAAAATTTAGTGACTTGTTTACCGTCCCTCTACCTTGTACTCGTGTTTTTTTGTTTGTTGATTTAACGTTCTGACCCCGTGCCCCCGAAACTGAACGTCCGTTGAGAAAGAAAACGAGCTTTAACAGCTCATCGGATCCCTCCAGTAATAAATCAATCTTCTGATTCTCAGGCTACGCAGGGCGGGGGGGGGTGGGCGGTGGGCGGGGGGGTAATCTTTGCTCTGCTCCGCCGCTCTCCGTCACAGAACAACGCCTCCAAGCTGCTGCTGGCGATCATGGAGAGCCGTCACGACAGCGAGAACGCCGAGAGAATCCTCTACAACATGCGTCCCAAGGAGCTGGTAACCGCGACCTCTGGCTCATTTTCCTCCCCAACGAGGCCACAGACATACAGAAAATCGTCCCCACCCCCACCTCCCCACACAGTACAGAGTTAGACCCATATGACTGTCATAAAAACCAAAATTCTTGTTGCATTGAAAAATGTTGACACTCCGACTGATGCTCCTGCTGTTGTGGAGTGACTCATGCAGCCAGCTATGGCTGCAGAGTTTGGTGGTACATGTTGTTTTCGTCGTTTGTTGTGAAAATTCGGTCACAGTTCCTATTTTGGTGATTTTCTAAAAGTGTTTCGGTTTGGCCATGTTTGTTTGTTGTAGTACGGAGTTAGACTCATGACCTTAATCTAAGTTGTCTTGTGGTTGTTGTTGTTGTTTGACTTGCATCCCACTGGGATTTTTGTACACAGCGTTGGTGTACGGTGTTTTTTCTGCAATATTTTTCCGTCTTTTCTTGGATTTTCTGTTTGCACTTAGTCACATATTCACTTTAAGATGTTTTTGTTCATGTTTTTGTTTGTTACGGTTGCACCCGATTCAAGAGCCGAATGGCTCACAGGGCTACACCTAATACATGAACTTGAACTTGATTAAAAAAAAAGCAAATCGGACTGAGGACGGCTGCTTGTGTTGTGGCCGAAACGTCGTGAGAATTATTTTATTATGTTTTAATTTTATTATTTTATTATTTTCCTTCTACGTGACTTTACCGAAAGAACCAAGAAGATGAATCCCTGCAGTCACGAAAGCTTTAAATCGAAAAATATGCTATACGTCATGTCAGATAAACTAAAATAGTTAAAATAAATACGTTTTTAGTTTGTATTTTACCAGGTAAGGCATCACTGAGCTAGACAGCTCTATGCTCTTTATACAGAAGCTTCCCGGCTATCACAAATGATCGCTCAACACGGAGTGGCTTGTCATCAGCGTGTTGCAAATTTATGGCAGTTGCCAAATACTCCAAACGCGTGGTGTTGAGTTTAAATTGAGAGGGACACAGGAGGACCTGGAGAAAAATCCACGACGCGTCCACGGAGACAGAAAGAGACGGTCGGAATCAAACACCACAACCTCCTGTATACCAGGCGAGGTAGTTAACATCTGCTAGCCACCGTGATGATGATGAGAGAAAAAGACACCGCAAACTCCGAATATACAGCAGGCGTCAGGGTCGGGATCGAACCCACAACCTCCTGTATACCAGGCGAGGTAGTTAACATCTCCTAGCCACCGTGATGATGATGATGAGAGAGAAAGACACGCAAACTCCAAATATACAGCAGCAGGCGTCAGGGTCGGGATCAAACACCACAACCTCCTGTATACCAGGCGAGGTAGTTAACATCTGCTAGCCACCGAGATGATGATGAGAGAGAGAAAGACACCGCAAACTCCAAATATACAGCAGCAGGCATCAGGGTCGGGATCAAACACCACAACCTCCTGTATACCAGTCGAGGTAGTTAACATCTGCTAGCCACCGTGATGATGATGAGAGAGAGAAAGACACCGTAAACTCCACATATACAGCAGGTATCAGGGTCGGGATCAAACACCACAACATCCTGTATACCAGGCGAGGTAGTTAACATCTGCTAGCCACCGTGATGATGATGATGAGAGAGAGAGACACGCAAACTCCAAATATACAGCAGCAGGCGTCAGGGTCGGGATCAATCACCACAACCTCCTGTATACCAGGCGAGGTAGTTAACATCTGCTAGCCACCGTGATGATGATGAGAGAGAAAGACACCGCAAACTCCACATATACAGCAGGCGTCAGGGTCGGGATCAATTACCACAACCTCCTGTACACCAGGCGAGGTAGTTAACATCTGCTAGCTACCGTGGTGATGATGATGAGAGAGAGAAAGACACCGCAAACTCCACATATACAGCAGGCGTCAGGGTCGGGATCAAACACCACAACCTCCTGTATACCAGGCGAGGTAGTTAACATCTCCTAGCCACAGTGGCACCCACCTTCCAGATGATCCCAAACAATAGGTGGAGCGGACGTTTCCGACCTCACGCTAAAGTTATCCCAACGTTGCACGTCCGCTGGGTGTTTCTCTCCACGTGAAATATGAATGCTCTTAGTTCTTTCGGTAAAGTCACGTAGGTAAAAAAAATAATTAAAATTAATAAAAATAAAACAATAAAATCACGACGTTTCGGAGGCAACACAAGTCTCCGTCATCAGGTGGGACCGTCACAACCAGATTTGCTGCATCAAGTGAGGGAGGGATTCAAGATGCAAGCTCTTAAGTACCAGTTAAGGGGGGAGGGGAGGGGGGGAGGGGCTTATCAGAATGTGGTAGCCAATGAATGGAACGTATCGGAAGGGGGGGGCGGGGCTAAAAGAGGGACGGGGTACTCGTGGTCAAGGACGTGTTTGTGCGCAAGTCACTGATTCACTTCGGCCCCACGTCCTGCCGGGAGTGGACAATGTTAGCGGCATTGAGTCTGCGCAAGCGAACGCTCCGGACCGGGTTTCGACACTCTGGGTCTCGTCAGCAGAGGCAGGCTCGCTTGATTCTTTGGTGACAACTTGCCAGACGTTATTGTCTCGAAGCTGTGCGTCCTAGTTCGACACAACATTAAAAACTACATCACTCAAAGATGATCATTGAGGGTCGTTGTGAAACAAAATATAAAACGTTGCCTTGGTTTTAATCCAAAAGTATGACATCGCAGGGAACGATGTCAGCTCGTATGAGACCATGCACGTGGCTTTCCTGCCCATGTCATCGGTTGATGTCACCTTTGTTCAGGTGAAGAAGTGGCATTTCATACAGTAATTTTGCTGTGACCGTTCCACCTGAAGACGGAAGCTTGTGTTGCCTCCGAAACGTCGTGATTTAATTTATTTATTTTCTTTTTTACCTACGTGACTTTACCGAAAAAACCAAAGAGTATGGACCCTTGCAGTCACGAAAACTTCAAATCTAGAAGTGTTAAGTTACAACGCAACGGACGTGACCACAAAAATGTCAATGAAAGATTTGAAAATTTATGGAAAGCGTTTCGTCCGAAATTTCATCCCAAACGCGGATGGACAGTAGCCGGTCTCCTACGATCGCGAACATTTGAGATCGTTTCGTATCGCGGACAACGATACCGCCGTGGCGACCCTATAGGAATCTCAGAATTAGTTCTGCAGTATCTCCTTCTTACGGGACATTCTCTGGCACCGGGTGATGCGCTGCTCGGTGAGATTAACGAATGGATTCTTCATCCCGTGACGCGACGCCAATATCCCAATCTGGATAAAACTGACAAAAATAGATTACGTAAAATAATCGATTTATTTATTGGCATTTGCACCACGTTTCGTAGGTCTCAGACGGCCGGATCACAGAGCACAAGCACATCCACATGCGAAATGTTTAGTCACCGGATCTTTAAGCTCGTTTTGTTGGTGCGGTGTGCTTTGTTCACAGAATCCAAATAAATGGGAGGTTTTTTTAATTATTAAATCCTTTATATTAAGTTCACTTGCTTGCTTGCTTGCGCGCTTACGACCGTGCAAATTTTTCGGTCGTTTATTATTTAAATCCTTTATATTAAGTTTGCTTGCTTGCTTGCGCGCTTACGACCGTGCAAAATTTTCGGTCGTTTTTTAACCCACTTCCCGTGATCCAATCGAGCTGAAATTTTCCACACAGACTCGTTGTGCGTGACAATACATTTTCGTGAAAATTTTTTTCCAAAATGTTACACTTTTTAGGATTTTTTTTATATTTAATTACCAATTGCTTAATGGTGCCAGGCAATCATCTGACCCATAGGTGGCAGCCATCTCAAGCCAGAGGACTCTAGCCGCCACGCATATAAAGGATTTACAGTGAAAAACTTTGTTTTTACGGGTTAATTTTTATCAGTGGAACTGGTGCACAGGTTACACCACCGGGGGAGACACTGCTGGGGATAAATCCAAACATGAATATTTCATCCGATCTGTGAACTGGGCGCATTGTTTACACCACCGCAGTGGGGAGGCAATTCTGGGTGAGAAATCCCAACATGAATAGAAATCTTTTTTATCTTGTCGGTGAACTGGTGCATCGGTCACACCGCTGGTGGGAGACACCGCTGGGGAGCCATCCTGTGTTAAATCGCGTCGGCTCCGCGCGTGGCCACAGGTGGACGTGATTAAGAGGGCCTACCAGCAGGGCGAGGAGAGCGGCGGTGGCGCCAGCGACGGCGACAGCGGCGTTGGCGCTGAGGATGCCGACGACGGCTCTGACCACATGGGGGCCTCGCCGCGTGACGTGGGACACAACATCTACATCCTGGCGCATCAGGTGGCGCGCAAAGACAAAGATTCACTCCCCCACCCACCACCACCACCGCGTATAGCCTTGACAGGTTAAATTTTGATTTGAAGCTTTCGTGACTGCAGGGATTCATCTTCTTGGTTCTTTCGGTAAAGTCATCGTGTAGAAGGGAAATAATAAAATAATAAAAATAAAACAATAAAATAATATAATAGAAGGGAAATAATAAAATAATAAATATAAAACATATAAAATAATATAATATTATTTTATTATGTTTCATTTTTCTTATAATAAAAATAAAACATAATAAAATAATAATAAAATAGCAAAACTAAAACATAATAAAATTATATAATATGATATTATTTTATTATGTTTTATTTTTATTATATTATAATAAAAATAAAACATAATAAAATAATATAATATTATAATATATAAATATTTTATTATGTTTTATTATTATATTATTTCCCTTCTACTTGACTTTACCGAAAGAACCAAGAAGACCTTGACAGGTTGTCGGGGCAAGTGCGGCTAGCGAGTAGCAGAACCTGGGAAGGGGCGGCACTGTGACACACGAGGGGGTGGGTGGCCAGCGCCCACGGCCGGCCGCCTTTGTCTCCCCGCCGGCGACGTTTGCACACACACCGCGTTTGAGGCACACACACACACGCCCGCTCGCACAAAGACAAAGGTCCCCTTTATAGCCTACACAGGCTGCTGGGGAAAGTGCTGATGAGCGGTATGCAGGTATGCACGGTGCACAGAGGGGTGTTGTGGCCGGAAAACAAAACGTGCCTTGCCGCCTTTGTCTCCCCATTGTTGATGTTTAAACATTGTGCCAAGTAGACCTACGGGAGGCTTAGGACCGGTTTCAGATATACGTCACTGATGGCGGCCGTCAAACGGGAAATGAAACTTGGGTCGCCGGGTTCGTCGCTGTGCGTGGCTGCACTGTTCACTGTGACACCTGCTGTGACAAAAGACAAAGATCCCCCATATAGCCTTAGCAGACTGTAGGGGCAAGTGCTGTTAGCGAGCACCTATAAAGGCCGGCACGGCACACGAGGGGGTGGGTGGCCAGCACCACGCCCGGCCGCCTTTGTCTCCCTAGTGGCAATGTTTACGCATTGCACCAGGTACTCATTTGAGGCTGAGTCGACCTAGGGGAGGCCCAGGACCGGTTCAGATAACCGTCACTGGGTGTTGGCCGTGAGCGGGAATCAAACCCTGATCGCCAGGTTCGTAGCGCTCACCGCTACGCTACCACCCGCTGTGGCACCCGTTATGACACCTGCTGCGCCACTGGTTGTGTCACCCGCTGTGACACCAGCCGTGCCACCCACTACGCCACCTCCCACGACACTCGCTGCGACACCCGCCGTGACGGCGACGACACCCGCGCTCCGCTGTGCCACATCACGCTGCGTCGTCTCTCATCGCGCCGTGCCTGGGTGTTCTCCCCCCCCCGCACCGCCCCTCCCGCACCGCCCCAGCTCGCCCGGCACAACAAGGAGCTGCACCAGATGCTGAAGCCCGGCGTAGGAGGCCCCGCGGACGATGGGGACGAGGCCTTGGAGTATTACGCACGGCACACGGCGCAGATCGAGGTACGGCCCCCACCCCCATCCACCCTCCCCTGGACCCCACCCCCTCACCCCCCCCCCCCCCAGCAGCCGCCCCATCGATCTCTCTAAATCAGCTCGAGCCTCCTGTAAGGCACGTGACCTCTGTGTGGCCACCCCCACGCTGAACCCCTCTCATCTATACATCTCTATCTCTGTATATAAATCAGCTCGAGCCTCCCGTAAGTCACGTGACCTCTGTGTGGCCACCCCCACGCTGAACCCCTCTCATCTATACATCTCTATCTCTGTATATAGATCAGCTTGAGCCTCCCATAAGTCACGTGACCTCTGTGTGGCCACCCCCACTCTGAACCCCTCTCATCTATACATCTCTATCTCTGTATATAGATCAGCTTGAGCCTCCCATAAGTCACGTGACCTCTGTGTGGCCACCCCCACGCTGAACCCCTCTCATCTATACATCTCTATCTCTGTATATAGATCAGCTTAAGCCTCCCATAAGTCACGTGACCTCTGTGTGGCCACCCCCACTCTGAACCCCTCTCATCTATACATCTCTATCTCTGTATATAGATCAGCTTGAGCCTCCCAGAAGTCACGTGACCTCTGTGTGGCCACCCCCACTCTGAACCCCTCTCATCTATACATCTCTATCTCTGTATATAGATCAGCTTGAGCCTCCCAGAAGTCACGTGACCTCTGTGTGGCCACCCCCACTCTGAACCCCTCTCATCTATACATCTCTATCTCTGTATATAGATCAGCTTGAGCCTCCCAGAAGTCACGTGACCTCTGTGTGGCCACCCCCACGCTGAACCCCTCTCATCTATACATCTCTATCTCTGTATATAGATCAGCTTGAGCCTCCCGTAAGTCACGTGACCTCTGTGTGGCCACCCCCACTCTGAACCCCTCCCCTTCTCCCAGTCGCCGCCCACTTTGAAAACAGACGCCGCTCCTCCTCCGTGCAGCAGCAGCAGCAGCAGCGTCGAGGCCCTGATGCAGCCTCTTCCTCCCCATCCTCACCTCTCCTGCCCCCTGTGTGCCCCCATTTCGCCATTCCCTTTCCCATTCCTTTTCTTCTTCTCTCTCTTCCCGTCGCCCGTTCCTTTCTTTTTCCCCCCACGCATGGCATCCGAGACTCTACGCCCCTTTCCCGTGGCCGCGCACCATAGGAACGTCACCGATTCGGCGTGATGATACGTGAGCACAATGTAGCAGTACCTGATGGTCGATAAACTAAACAAATCTTTTTTATTTTATTTTACCAGGTAAGGCCCCACTGAGCTGTACGGTTCTATTTCAGAACCGACCTGGCCACAAATGACAGCCCAATGAAGTGGCTCATCGGTGTGGAAATGTATAGCAGCCAAATACTCTGAATGCCATGATGTTGTTTTAAATGCGGAGGGAAAAACCAGAGGACCCAGAGAAAAATCCACGTGACCAAGGGGAGAACGTGCAAACTCCAAAATACACAGGCATTATCAGGGTCGGGATCGAACCCACAACCTCCTGCTGTATATTTGGAGTTTGCGTGTCTCTCTCTTTCTCTCACCGTGGTCACGTAGATTTTTCATCCGGGCCCTTCACCTTTCCCCCCCCTCCACATTTAGAATCACATCACGCCTTTTAGAGTATTTGGCTGCTGCCACGCAACGATGATGATGATGATACTCCACTTGGGTGCGGAGCGGTGGCACGATTGGTTAGCAACACTGCGAGCTTGCGCGTGTGTGCTTGTGCGTGCGCAGGTGGTGCGCCAGGACCGCACGATGGAGCAGATCGTGTTTCCCGTGCCCAGCGTGTGCGAGTACCTGACGTGCGAGTCGCAGCTGCGCGTCTACTACACGGCCGAGCGCGACGACCAGGGCAGCAAGATCAACGACTTCTTCCTGCGCTCCGAGGACCTCTTCCGCGAGATGAACTGGCAGAAGAAGCTCCGTGGTGGGTGAGGCGGTGGTGGTGGCGGTGGTGGCGGTAGTGGAGGTGGTGGTGGAGGTGGTGGAGGTGGTGGAGGTGGTGGCGGTAGAGGTGGCGGTAGAGGTGGCGGTGGTGGCGGTAGAGGTGGCGGTGGTGGCGGTGGCGGTGGTGGCGGTGGGGGTGGTGGAGGTGGTGGCGGTAGTGGTGGCGGTAGAGGTGGGGGTGGTGGGAGAGGCGGTAGTGGTGGAGGAGGTGGTAGTGGGGGTGGTGGGAAAGGCGGTGGTGGTGGCGGTGGTTGTGGTGGTGGAGGTGGTGGCGGTGGAGGTGGTGGCGGTAGAGGTGGTGGTGGAGGCGGTGGTGGTGGGGGTGGTAGGAGAGGCGGTGGTGGTGGTGGCGACGGTGGCAGTGGCGGCAGGGATGGTGGTGGTGCGAGCGGTGGGTAATGATAGTGGTGATGTAGGTGGTGATGATGGTGTGGTTTCTGTGGTGGTGGCGGTGGTGGTGGTGGCGGTGGTAGTGGCGGTGGTGGTGGCAGAAGTGGTGGCGGTGGTGGCAGGGATGGTAGTGGTGTGAGTGGTGGGTGATGATGGTGCTGATGAATGTGGTGATAATGGTTGGTGGTCGTGGGTTGCCGAGGAGATGGAGTCTGCCTCAATGGCCCGCGATCACAAATCGCTCTTGAATTCCATCAAAAAAGTAACCTGCAGCGCCACACCTATTACCATCATTAGGGGAAAGAATGGTGATCCAATCTCCGACCCCCATGAATAGGTTTGCAGATGTGCTGAGCATTTCTGTGAGGTCCTGGGGGAGGGGAAATCCCTCAGCCTGGAAAACATCATGGGGCAAAGTGTGGATGACCCTGCTGAGGCTGCGGTGCCTCAAATATTGGAAGAAGTCACCCCCTGTGAGTGGCTGGCTGAGGTGCCATCTGTTTAGGAAGTTCTGAAGGCGATCCAGAGCCTGAGACCAGGAAAAAAGACATTGTGTGTCTCTGTGTTGTCTCTCTCTGCTTGTGTCTCTGTCTGTGTGTCTATGTTGTGTGTCTCTCTCTGTGTGTCTCTGTGTGTGTCTCTCTCTGCTTGTGTGTCTGTCTGTGTGTCTATGTTGTGTGTCTCTCTCTCTGTGTGTCTATGTTGTGTGTCTCTCTGATTGTGTGTCTGTCTGTGTCTATATTGTGTGTCTCTCTCTGTGTGTCTGTGTGTTGTCTCTCTCTGCTTGTGTGTCTGTCTGTGTGTCTCCGTGTCTGTGTTTTGTCTCTCAAATTTAGTTCGACCTGATGACGGTTGCTTGTGTTGCAATCGAAACGTCGCACTCTATTATTGAATTTATTTTCTTCCTGCAGTCACGAAAGCTTCAAATCAAATTTTGAGGGTGTCCATTGCTATCCAGTCGGTGTTATTGTGACTGTAACTTAGTCTTTGAGTGACCAGATTTTTATAAATTTACTGTTATATACTTCACTGTATAACTTTACTGTTATATACTTTACTGTATAACTTTACTGACTCCGGGCAAAAAGTGTCCTCTATTCCAGAGAATTCGAAAAACAATCGTACGATGATGTATTATTATTGTTATTATCATTACATTTGTTCACCTCGGAAACTGCACGCTAATGTGTCATGTTACGCTGATTAAAACGAGAGGAAACCGCGTGGGCGAAGAAGCGAGCTCGGAGCGGTTACATGCCTCCTAAACGTGACGGATTAACATTTTGATCACGGAAACAAAAAAACGCGAACGCACAATTGTGGAGTGACGCCCGGACCCATTCATCGGCCACAAACGGTGTTAGCGAGCGCCTATTAAGGCCTCCACCCCTCCACGCGTCCTGCACCTGGGTCCGGGTCGACGATGGCCAGGCAGGCGTGCGCTATCGCCTCGAGCGCACCGTGTGAAACCATCAGAATCAGAACATTTACTTACACTGGCGCCACGTGAACGCACTCCAATCGCCCAAGATGGAGTGCGTTCACGTGGCGCTTCGAGTCAGCCTTTCGGTCAGAACGAGAACGAACAGAGGAAGGGGGACCACGCGGGAGCGGGGCTCCGGGTTGCCACGTGGCAGTGCGTCTCTCTCTCGCTATCTGTCCCTCTCACGCTGCCTGTCAGCAGCGCGAAGGAAAAGCTGTTGAATAAAAGACGGATTCCAGAAGTCGTCTCAACGAGCTTTATTACAAAAGGCTAAAAAGGTTTGCGTATTAATACCTTGAATTTTTGTTTACACACCGGGGTGGGGGGGGGGTGACCTTTCTTTGCGTGCGTGGGTGCAGGTCAGCGCGTGCTCTTCTGGTGCTCGCGCAACATCACGCTGTGGAGCAGCATCTCCTTCAACCTCGCCGTGCTCATCAACCTGCTCGTCGCATTCTTCTACCCCTTCGAGAGCAGCTGCGGCGGTGAGCGCCGGTCTCTCCTCCCGGTTGTTCCCGCCCCCCGCCCGCCTGCCCCCCCCCCTATCCCTCGCCCCCCCCCCCTCTCCCTCGCCCCCCTTTCTCCCTCGCCCCCCACCTCTCCCTCCCCCTCCCTCTCCCCCCCCCCTCTCCCTCGCCCCCCCCCTCTCCCTGTCCCTCGCCCCCCCCCCCTCTCCCTCGCCCCCCCCTCCCTCCCTCGCCCCCCCCCCTCCCTCTCCCTCCCCCTCGCCCCCCCCTCTCCCTCGCCCCCCCCCTCTCCCTCGCCCCCCCCCCTCTTCTCCTCGCCCCCCCCTCTCCCTCGCCCCCCTCTCCCTCGCCCCCCCCTCTCCCCCCCCCTCTCCCTCGCCCCCCCCCTCTCCCTCGCCCCCCCCTCTCCCTCGCCCCCTCTCCCTCGCCCCCCCCCCTCTCCCTCGCCCCCCCTCTCCCTCGCCCCCCCTCTCCCTCGCCCCCCCCTCTCCCTCGCCCCTCCCTCTCCCTCGCACCCCCCCCCCCTCCCTCTCCCTCGCCCCCCCCCCTCTCCCTCGCCCCCCCCTCTCCCTCGCCCCTCCCTCTCCCTCGCCCCCCCCCCTCCTCCCTCGCCCCCCCCTCTCCCTCGCCCCCCCCTCTCGCTCGCTCCCTTTCCCCCCAACTCTGATGCTGACGCTGTTTTTTCTGCAATATTTTGCTGTCTTTTCTTGGATTTTCTGTTTGCACTTAGTCACATAGTCACTTTAAGATGTTTTCTTGTTCATGTTCTTAGCTCTTTCGGTAAAGTCACTTTACCGAAAGAACCAAGATTATGAATCCTTGCAGTCACGAAAGCTTCAAATCTAGAATTTCTTGGTCATGTTTTTGTTTTTTGTTTGTTGCGGTTGCACCCAATTCAAGAACCGAATGGCTCACAGAGCTTTATACCTAATCAATGAACTTGAACTTGAAATGATAGCTGAGCGAGGTGGCTTATCCACACGTGGAATTCAACGGTAGCGCAAATCGTATAGACGCGCGACGTTGATTCCAAACGCGCAGAGGGAAAGAACAGAGGACCCCCCCCCCACCCTGCCCGCGTCGACAGGGAGAGAGACACGGAAACTGTATACCAGGCGTGGCAGTTAACATCTACTAGCTACTGAGTAGCACCCCCCCGTGAGACGTGGTGGTGCTTTCCTGCAAGGCGTCTTGGGTAAGCGTCCTGAGAAACCTGGCTTGACCCCCCCCCCCCCGCCACCGATCAAGCAGCAGCAGCTGCAGCCGTAGCCTCCGGTCCTCGGGCACCATGCGAGACGCGAGGATGAAAGTGTGGCCTTTCGATTTTTTTTCGTCTTCTTCTTTCTCTTCCCTCTTTGGCGGAGAGAATAATGAGGACGCTCTGTGCCAGGTTCGCCCTCGTTAGTAATTTTTCAGTTAAAAAAAAAAACCACCGCGAGAGATGCCAGAGAGCTACTTCAACACGCGTGTCATCGAGCGTGCCTCCCTTCCCCGGCAGCGCCGCCACCGTTACAAGACAGCGCTCCTTGCTTCTGCTGATTACTGCTGCTGCTGCTACTGCTGCTGCTGCTACTACTGCTACTGATTCTGCTGCTTACTGCTGCTGCTACTGCTGCTACTGCTGCTGCTACTGCTGCTGCTGCATCTGCTGCTGCTACTACTGCTTCTTCTGCTATTAATGCTGCTGATGCTTCTGCTGCCACTGCTGCTGCTGTTACTGTTTCTGCTTGCTGCTGCTTCTGCTGTTGCTACTACTGCTTCTGCCACTACTGCTGCTGCTTCTGTTGCAGCTACTGTCGCTTACTGCTACTGCTGCTTCTCCTGCTGCTGCTACTGCATCTGCTGCTTACTGCTTTTGCTGCTACTACTGCTGTTGCTACTACTGCTTCTGCTACTACTGCTGCTGCTTCTGTTGCTTCTGTTTGCTGCTGCTTACTACTGCTGCTACTGCTGCTGCTAATGCTTCCGGCTAACTGCTGCTTTTGCTTGCTGCTGTTACTGCTGCTGCTGCTGTTCGCCGCTACAGATAAGTCACATTGCACAAGAGAGGGTCTCGATTCGCAATGGGTTTTTCGTTTGTTTTTGTGTCACATCGCTGACAGGACCCACTAAATAAAACTGACACTTGAACAATAAAGAAACGCACGCGTTATTCGCATTGCTTCAGCAGCCTCCGGTACACACAAACACACTCGCTCACGTATGCATACGTTGGAAGAGCGATCCGCGCAGACTCTGGCTCGCTCGGCGGACTGATTCGCAGGCTGGTTTATAAATAGCGCGCGCGTGTCGACATCGTGGGTGGCCAACCCGTAACAGACCAAGAGCCAAAAAAGTGGCCGTGAATTCTAAAAAGAGACAAGCTGCGTGCGTGTATATATTGCGAGTTCTTGGCACAGCAACGGCATACATTCATTTATTCTTTGCTCCTACTGTGATAGTAAATTCTACGTTGTGCCCCTTCGCTGGAGCTGCGTGCGGCGAATTGGAGAGTCGCGTGCGGTGGATTGAAGAGTTGGGATTGAAGAGTCGCGTGCGGTGGATTGAAGAGCCACTTGGGGAGATGCCAGTTGGCCACCGCTGCTTTATAAGAATATAATTTGTTTGTGTATTCACTCATATGCATGCACGCACGCACGTGCGGTTGAACTTCTTCGGCGCGCCGTACGTAGCCAACCCGCGCTGCATGAGATGACCCCCGGCACACATTTTGCCGGTGCCCTCTCTGGCCTGGTGAATATGGCAGTCGTGCATTCCCCCCCCCCCCCCCGCCCTCCCCGAGTGCTGCGGTGAATTTGGTAAACTGCTGTTGTCCCGCGTTCGTGAGAGGCGCATTTTAAGGCCGGGCGTATAGATTTGTTTTCTTGTTTTCGCTCGCGTGTGACTTTTTAAGAGTCCACTTTAATTGTTGAGAGAGAGCATGAGTGGGAGTGGCGGGGGGCGGCGGGGGGGGGGGGGGCAGGTTGCGGGAGATGGGAAGGAAAGAAAGAAAAAAAGCAATACTGGCAATGAATGATTATTCCGCAGCGTTCAATGATATCATTAAAACTCACGTCCCAGGGAACACTTTAAGTGGCCCATCCTCATCAATAAAGCCTCTCTCTGCCAGGGGAAATGGGGCGGATATAAGCGTACACAGCCGTACACGATCGGAGCAACGATCGCTCCGCAAGCTGCTGCCGCTGCGTTTTGATGTGACAGGCACGCACGCGCGCGCGTATTAACGCGACAACGCTCGCGCATCCCCAGGAACGTTTCCACCGGTGACGCTACCCACCCCCGCCTCCACCACCTCCTCTCAATTTCGCCCACCACCCACCCCCTTCGCCGCCGATTCGCCATCAGAGCACATTAACCGCTGGTCGGCCTCGCTTGAAAGAGCAAGGCCCCATCTGGCCGCCGCTGCCACCCCGGTGCCCGGTTATTGCCGGTGGCGCTGGCTGAAGCCCATAATTAGGCCGTAATTCACGGCGCAACGCCTGTCAACCAGCCAGCCGGCCACCCACCACCCAGCCAGCCGGCCACCCGGCCACCCGGACACTCAAAGTTGGCCCCGTTTGGCCTTGGTCGCCCATGTTGTGCAATGTGGGTGTTTGCGTTCTTGGTTGACCTGCGATTGCCTAGGTGTGATTTGTGCTGCCCATATAAGCCCATGTCGGGCCCTATGGACACATTTTGGCCTCTGTCAGAGGTGTGGACTCGAGTCATGTGACTTGGACTCGAGTCAGACTCGAGTCATGAATTTGATGACTTCAGACTCGACTTGGACTTGCATAACAATGACTTTGTCCCACCTCTGGCCTCTGTTGGCCCATGTTGACCCTGGTGGCCCATTGACTATTTTGATTGGTGTGGCCCGTTTGGCTGTGTTGCGTTTGGTGCTGACGTGTGTTGTTTTGCGTGGCCCACGTTGGCCTCTGTTGGGTCTTAGCGACTCTTGTAGGCCTCGGTGCTGCATTTTAGTCCGTGTTGGCTCACGTCGACCCACACGTACTTGTGTTGTGCCAAAGTGCCCCGTGGTAATCTTCGTCTCCCCTTGCCACCACGTGTCTCCCCTTGTCTCCCCGTGTCTCCCTTTTCCTCACCGTGTCTCCCCTTGCTTCCCCCATGTCTCCCTGTGTCACCCCGCGTCTCCCCTTGCCTCCCCGTGTCTCCCCGTGTCTTCCTGTGTCTCCCCGTGTCACCCCGGGCCACCCCGTGCCTCCCCGTGTCTCTCCGTGCCTCCCCGTGTCTCCCCGTGTCTTCCCGTGTCTCCCCGTGTCACCCCGTGTCTTCCCGTGTCTCCCCGTGTCTCCCTTTGCCTCCCCGTGTCTCCCCGTGTCACCCCGTGTCTTCCTGTGTCTCCCTGTGCCTCCCCGTGTCTCCCCGTGTCACCCCGTGTCTCCCCGTGTCTCCCCGTGTCTCCCCGTGTCTCCCCGTGTCACCCCGTGTCACCCCGTGTCTCCCCTTGCCTCCCCGTGTCTCCCTTGCCTCCCCGTGTCTCCGCACGTCACCCCCGCTCCTTACCCCCGCCTCCCCCCGCTCCTCACCCCCCCCCCCCCCCCACGTCACCCCCGCTCCTTACCCCCGCCTCCCCCCGCTCCTCGCCCCCCCCCCCCCGTCACCCCAAGGCCCCCTGGAGCCGCACTTGTCGGGACTGCTGTGGACGGCGACGCTGGGCTCGCTGGCCATCGTGCTGGCGCTGCCGCGCCCCCACGGCATCCGCGCGCTCATCGGCTCCGCGATCCTCCGCCTCATCTACTCGCTCGGCCTGGAGCCCACGCTGCTGCTGCTGGGCACCGCAAACGTGCGTGCGGCCGCCGACCTCGTCGCGACCCCCCACCTTCCCCACGCGTCGCACCTCGTTGTCACTCGTCGTCGCGTCCCCCGTCCCACCGCGGTCGTTTCGTGCCCGTCGCAGCGTCGTGATGAGACGGCCACGCGTCGCCATGTCTCATGTCACACGCCCGTTGCTTGTCGTTGCACCTCATCGAGCGTCGTCATCGTCAGCCGTGATCGATCCACTGCTGGATGAAGGCCTACTCTCCGGGGCTGTCACCACCTCTCGCGGTCCCACGACGCGACGATCCGCGCAGCATCTCTGCACCGCTCCATCTCCGCGTTGGTGGAACCCCCCCCCACCCCACCTCTCCCGTACGCATTCCGTTATCCTTCTATAAACATAACTACTGTTGTATAATTTCCTATCGTCGTTGTCGTCGTCGTCATCATTATTATTATTCAGAGAGGTGTCTCTGCCCACCGTTAGCAATTAAATCCGCGAGTGCCGCGTGGGTTATAATCACATCCGGAGGAAATCTTAGCGGCTCACAGATGTTTAAGCAATTATTTGCACCTTTACGTACGTACGCACGCGCGCGCGTCTGTACGCGTGTGCGTGTACGCGTGCGTTCGTTTCAGCTCTGAACGGCGTTTACATTTTTAATTGTTTAATTACGAACAAAAAAAAAATCTAAATCAAGAAATAGAGATCGTTCCGTCCCGACGCGCGTGCTGGCGTGCCTGTGCGTGTGTGCGTGTGTGCGCATGTGTGCGTGCTTGCGTGCGTGTGTGCGTGTGTGTGTGTGCGCACTTGTGTGCGTGCGTGTTTGCCTGTGGGTGTGCGTTTGTATGTGTGCGTGCGTGTGTGCGTGCTAGCGTGCCTGTGGGTGTGTGTGTGTTAGTGTGCGTGTGTGTACGCGTGTGTGCGTGTGTGGGTGTGTGTGTGTGTGCGTGCGTGCGTGCGTGCATGTGTGTGTGTGTGCGTGCGTGTGTGTGTGTGCGTGCGTGTGTGTGTGTGTGCGTGTTGTGTGTGCGTGTGTGTGTGTGCGTGTGTGTGTGTGCGCGTGTGTGTGTGCGTGTGTGTGTGTGCGTATGTGTGTGAGTGCGTGTGTGTGTGTGCGTGTGTGTGTGAGTGAGTGCGTGCTGGCACACACTGACAGACACTTGCACAGCTGGAGCTTCCTTAAATCCCCATTTAAAATATATAACGGCTATTATACGGATCATGGCGGGCCGGAGGGGGGGGGGTTATTCTGTCAGGAGATCCCATGCTGTGCAGTTGCTGCGAGTTTAATATGCAAGGCACACATCAAATACGTATGAGAGATGGGTGTCAGATTTTTTTCAGAATGTCGCCACCACAATCATCTGATATTTTACAATTTTTTATTTGTTCAGCTCTTTTTGATTTCACAGGCTACCTGGCTATTGCAAATTATCGCTCAACGGAGCAACTTGACATCGCGTGGGAACTTACGAAGGCCAAAGACTCTAAACGAGCGATGTTGATTCTAAATGTGGAGGGGACAAACCGGGGGACGCGAATAAAAATCCACGCGACCACGGGGATAGAGAGACACGCAAACTACAAGTACACAGCAGCAGGCGTCAGGGTCGGGATCGAACCCACGACCTCCTGAATACCAGGCGAGGTGGTTAACATCTCCTAGCCACCGTGATGATGATCATGATAGACACATTCTAAATATTCAGGCGTAGTCAGGGTCGGGTTAGAACCCACGACCTCCTGAATACCAGGCGAGGTGGTTAACATCTCCTAGCCACCGTGATGATGATCATGATAGACACATTCTAAATATTCAGGCGTAGTCAGGGTCGGGTTCGAACCCACGACCTCCTGCATACCAGGCGAGGTGGTTAACATCTCCTAGCCACCGTGATGATGATCATGATAGACACATTCCAAATATTCAGGCGTAGTCAGGGTCGGGATCGAACCCACGACCTCCTGCATACCAGGCGAGGTGGTTAACATCTCCTAGCCACCGTGATGATGATCATGATAGACACATTCCAAATATTCAGGCGTAGTCAGGGTCGGGTTCGAACCCACGACCTCCTGCATACCAGGCGAGGTGGTTAACATCTCCTAGCCACCGTGATGATGATCATGATAGACACATTCCAAATATTCAGGCGTAGTCAGGGTCGGGTTCGAACCCATGACCTCCTGTAGACCAGGCGAGGTGGTTAACATCTCCTAGCCACCGTGATGATGATCATGATAGACACATTCCAAATATTCAGGTGTAGTCAGGGTCGGGATCGAACCCACGACCTCCTGCATACCAGGCGAGGTGGTTAACATCTCCTAGCCACCGTGATGATGATCATGATAGACACATTCCAAATATTCAGGCGTAGTCAGGGTCGGGATCGAACCCACGACCTCCTGTATACCAGGGGAGGTGGTTAACATCTCCTAGCCACTGTGGTGTGTGCGTGTGTCTTTACGCAAGGGTGGGAAGTGTTGGCTTAGCGGTTAGCGCGGTGCGCCATGAACCCCGGTGACCCGAGCTCAATTCCCACTCTCGACCAGTCACAGAGGCGAATATTTGATCCGGTCCTGGGCCTCCCTTAGGTCGACTCAGCCTCAATGGGTGGCTTGTGCCGTGTGTAAAACAACAACACTGGGGAGATGAGGGCGATCGGGCGTACAATGCCGGCCACCCACCACCTCGTGTGCCGTGCCGGGCCTTCACAGGTGCTACTCCCTAACGGCACTTGCCCCGACAGCCTGTTGAGGCTACACCCGGGGATCTTTGTTCTTTATATCCAAAGGAAACGTCAACGCGCCGAGGTGCACCGTGATACCGCCTTCCCCCGCCCCCGTCACACCTCGCGCGTCACGTGACCACCACCCCCCCTCCCCTCCTTGTCTAGACCACCAACCACTCGAGAGAGAGCCGAGCGTCCGCCGCCACGTGTGTGTGTGTGTGCCCGTGCCCACCAGGGGGAGCGGTGGTGCAGCGGTTAGCGCGCTGCGCTATGAACCCGGCTGCCCGAGTTCGATTCCCGCTCAGGGCCAACACCCAGTGACGATTATCTGAACCGGTCGTGGGCCTCCCTTAGATCGACTCAGCCTCAAATGAGTACCTGGTGCATTGTCTAAACATGCCCACTGGGGTTCCAGTTGCGATGAAGGCCGGAACGACAACCCCTCGTGTGCCGTGCCGGCCTTCATAGGCGCTGCTCGCTAACAGCACTTGCCCCGACACTTTGTAAAGGCTACACGGGGGGGATCTTTGTCTTTGTGCCCACCAGGTATGCAACAAGGTGGTGTTCCTGGTGAGCTTCGTGGGGAACCGAGGCACGTTTGCCCGCGGCTACCGAGCGATGATCTTCGACGTGGAGTTCCTCTACCACCTCTTCTACCTGACGGTGTGCGCTTCGGGCCTCCTCCTCCACGAGTTCTTCTACAGCCTGCTGGTAGCCGCCGCTCGCAGCAACCACAGCCATGAGCAACAAGCACACACGCACAACCGCGCTCGCAGCAATGTAACAGCAACTGCATTGGCAGCAATGTAACAGCAACCGCATTGGCAGCAATGTAACAGCAACCGCATTGGCAGCAATGTAACAGCAACCGCGTTCGCAACAATGTAACAGCAACCGCATTGGCAGCAATGTAATAGCAACCACGTTCGCAGCAATGTAACAGCAACCGCATTCGCAGCAATGTAACAACAACCCCATTGGCAGCAATGTAACAGCAACCGCGTTCGCAGCAATGTAACAACAACCACATTCGCAGCAATGTAACAGCAACTGCATTCGCAGCAATGTAACAACAACCGCATTCGCAGCAATGTAACAGCAACCCCATTGGCAGCAATGTAACAGCAACCCCATTGGCAGCAATGTAACAGCAACCGCATTGGCAGCAATGTAACAGCAACCGCGTTCGCAGCAATGTAACAGCAACCGCATTCGCAGCAATGTAACAGCAACCCCATTGGCAGCAATGTAACAGCAACCCCATTGGCAGCAATGTAACAGCAACCGCGTTCGCAGCAATGTAACAGCAACCGCGTTCGCAGCAATGTAACAACAACCCCATTGGCAGCAATGTAACAGCAACCGCGTTCGCAGCAATGTAACAGCAACCGCATTCGCAGCAATGTAACAACAACCCCATTGGCAGCAATGTAACAGCAACCGCGTTCGCAGCAATGTAACAGCAACCGCATTCGCAGCAATGTAACAACAACCCCATTGGCAGCAATGTAACAACAACCGCATTCGCAGCAATGTAACAACAACCGCATTCGCAGAAATGTACCAGCAACCGCGTTTGGACGCGCGTGCCCCCCGTGCCCCTTAAGCTGTTCGACCTGGTGTACCGCGAGGAGACGCTGCTCAACGTGATCAAGAGCGTGACGCGCAACGGCCGCTCCATCGTGCTCACCGCCGTGCTCGCGCTCATCCTCGTCTACCTCTTCTCCATCGTCGGCTTCCTCTTCTTCCGCGACGACTTCATCCTCTCGGTCGACCGCTCCGGAGCGCCGCACGGCGCCGCCGACAGAGGTGGGCGACGAGCGCGACCGCACGCACCGTGGCACGGCACGCCTTGTGCCGAACCACTACGCCGGTGCCACACGGAAACGAGATTTCACACCCCCCCCCCCCCCCCCGAACTCACCGCCTTATTGAATTTTCGATTTAAAGCTTTCGTGACTGCAGGGATTCATCTTCTTGGTTCTTTCGGTAAAGTCAGGTAGAAAAAAAAAATCATTATTTCATTATTCCCCAAAGCGATCGCTCCGTATCGTGCTGTGCATCGGCGCTGCATTTTCAGGACAATGCTGTACCTTCTTCTTGGTTCTTTCGGTAAAGTCACGTAGAAGGGAAGAAATAAAATAATAAAAATAAAACATAATACAATAATTCTCACGACGTTTCGGCCACAACGCAAGCAGCCGTCCTCAGGTGAAGAACAGGTCTGTCGAGAAGACAGAGTCTGTCTCTGTCTTCTCGACAGAGGCATAATTATTTTATTATTATTTTTATTATTTTATTATTTCCATTCTACGTGACTTTACCGAAAGAACCAAGAAGATTATTGAATTTTGTTTCAACCGAGTTACCCCCCCCCCCATACCCCTCACCTTACCTGACCCAACATGGTTCTGAGAATTAACGAACGTCAACATTCTATCCAGTTGAGGTATCCTTGACTGGCTAAGTAACTGTGCTTGTGACGCTCGCTGGTTGCTCCTGAAAACCAACATTGCTTACGATCGGTGGGTTTAAAACGGTCTTTTTGAATCGTTCTAGGATACCACGCGGATTTGAACGTTGTCGTAGTTATTTCACTATCGGCACATTCGCACGCCATTATTCACAAACGGCTCTCGCGCTCACGATATCATTTCTTACGCGTTTACAAATTGCCTCACGTTTATCCCCCCCCCCCGCTTGCCCGCCCCCCCGGGACATTGCCGCGTTACCCCCCCCCCCCCAGGGGGTCAACGTTACCCCCCCTCCCTCCGGTTGAGAACCGTTGCCATGGACCGTCAACGAGGGCTGCGCAAACCGCTGTGCCGCCAACCCACCACGGCGCAGCTGCGTCATACCACGCCGAGGGGGGGACAAAAATAAAGAAACGGGAGATAAACCAGGAAGGTCTTGTTTGTTCTGTTTGGCGACGACGACGACGACGACTAGGCGCGGGGTCAGAACGTCGGCAAACAAAACAAAAACACAACAGAAGTGCAAAGTGTAGGGAAGGCGGTGATAAGAAATCAAACGGGGCAGCGTACCCCACCCCACACGGCGCACCGCGCGGTTTTGCTTTCAATGCCCCGCCGCACCACCGGTGCACATCGCAGCACGAGCCGCCACGCCACCCGAGTTGTTCATGAGTGTTCGGCACTCGGGCTATCCGCTGCTGAATGAAGATCCCCGCTCCCCCCCCCACCCCTCCCTCCACCTTCTTACAGTTTCGATTTAAAGCTTTCGTGACTGCAGGGATTCATCTTCTTGGTTCTTTCGATAAAGTCATCACGTAGAAGGGAAATAATAAAATAATAAAAATAAAACGTAATAAAATAATAACAACGCAAGCAGCCGTCCTTGCGTTGTGGCCGAAACGTCGTGAGAATTATTTTATTACGTTTTATTTTTATTGTTTTATTATTTCCCTTCTACGTGACTTTGCCGAAAGAACCAAGAAGACTTCCTACAGTTATTTGACCGCGCCGCTCAGCAACGCAGGACGGAAAAAGCGTTCGCGCCCGGAGTCTGCCACCGATGTTAGCCGTCGCCGGGGGGGGTGATGGAATAGAACCCGGGGGTCACGGTCACCCTAACCGCAGCGCCACCGCTCCCGAATGCGTTCAAGCTCCCCCGTGTCCTACCGACGCCCCCCCCCTCCCCGTAAACGCCTACGGCACGGCTCCCCCCCACCCCCCCCCGTTCCAGCGACGGCACCCTCGCGTGCGCGCGCGCCCACCGGCGCTAACGACGACAATTCACCGAGACGGCCGCCCCCTGCATCCCCCCAATCTCCGCACCTCCTCCGCCAAATTTCCGCGCTTCTTTGCCGCCGTTTGGCATGAGTTGGTTTCGCGCGCGTGTCCCGGGAAGGGGGTGCGCGGGCTGGGGGGGGGGGGGGAGTCCGGGGACTGCCGTTTGCTTGCGCGGTGACTTTTAACGCGATTTACGAGGATATTCTCGGCGACTCTTAGCCTCGTCAAATCTGGCACGGCCGCCCGTCAATCTCGGCGGGCCCCTTGCGTATCTCTCTCTCGCCGTCTTCTCTCGCCAAACGGCCAGACGGCTCCCCCCCCCTCCCCTCCCTTTCTGCCCCCCCCTCGCTCTCTCCGTCTCTCGCCCGTCCGCCCGCGCAAACTCAGCTCGTTGCCGCTCGCCCCGGCGTGAAACCCGCCGAGTTTGCCGATTTCGCGCCGCGCCCGCACTTTCTGCGCCGCAGCTTATTTCGTTTTTTTCTTTTTCATTTTTTCCAGGACGTTTTTCCCCCCGCAAGGCTGTCCCGGCTAAATCCGCTGGACGCAATAGATGGGGGTATTAAAAATGTAAAAAAAAAAAAATTTGCCGGCCGTTACATTAAAAAAAATACGGTGCGCCCTCAGATTGATGGCTTCACGATGTGGCCACTCTGCAATCATTAATTTTTTACGAGGCTTTACCCCCGAACGTTCGTTTTTTTTTTTTGCTGCTTCCGTGTTAAAGTCTTACAAGACGTGCCGCCCGACTGCCAAGGCTGGTGGTGCTAATGGGCACCCCCAGATGGTGCCCGTGTCCAGATGTGACGTACGGCCGCCGCCGCCGCTGCTGCCGCTGCTGCCAAGTCCTTGGATAAGGTCACAGGAAACGCAGATTCTGGCGAAAAGCCGACGGAAAGTAACGTGCGCGCAAATTGTTAAACTGACCTCGCGCAAACAAAAGGTGCGTTCCCATTCCAGGCAGCCTGCCCCGTGGCTAAACGCTGTCCCTCAAGTCCAGTGAGTTGATGGCCTCAGGCCAGTCAACCGATAAGTGCACGCAACAACAACAAAAAACAACCCCACCGTGTTAAATTCGGTTCCGCGCTTAACGTTTTGCCAACTCGCAGCGCCAACAATGAGAAATGTCGGTTCGATCGTCGCACAAACGGACGGATCTCACTCTCGTACGCCGGAGCGGGTGAGAAAGCGCCGCCCCAGTGCCGCGTGCGGGCCCGGCGTTGCCACTCGGTAAGCGATCTCGGAGGCAGCTCTGCAATATCCACTTCTGCGGCGGTCCGTTCTCCGGCAACGAACGAGGCCGTTCCGCCCCGCGACGACCCGACTTTTAATCCTGATTTCGCGGCACTGCACTGCGGACGTAACGGGACCGAGCGGGCACGCCCTCGCCGGTGTAACTCCCATCCTGCGGCAACTCCCGTGCCGGTGTAACGCGCACGCCGGAGTAACGCGCGCGCACGTGCCGGGGCGTGTCGGACGAAATCTAAAAAACGCGCCGTCCCGCGTTCGCTCGTTTCCTTCGTCCGCCGCTCGCCATTTGTTATCAAACGCTATTCGCTGATGTCGCCGCGAGAGGTTTCAAGATAAAACGCCCCGTGCCACGGAGCCGAGTGATTGTAATCATTATTATTGTTCGAGTGTTTCGCTTGAACTTTCGAATCAAAACTTAAATTTTTTTGTTTACCAGGTCAGGCCCCACTGAGCTATACAACGCTATTTCAGAAGCGACCTGGCCACAAGTGGCTTGTGATCGTCGTTTTGATTCTAAATGCGGAGGGAAAAACTGGAGGACCCGGAGAGAAAAATCCACGCGACCACGGGGGAGAGTGACACGCAAACTCTAAATATACAGCAGGCGTCAGAGTCGAGATCGAACCCACGACCTCCTGTATAGCAGGCGAGGTAGTTAACATCTCCTAGCCACCGTGATGATGATGAGAGAGAGACACGCAAACTCCAGATATACAGCAGCAGGCGTCAGGGTCGGGATCGAACCCACGACCTCCTGTATAGCAGGCGAGGTAGTTAACATCTCCTAGCCACCGTGATGATGATGAGAGAGAGACACGCAAACTCCAAATATACAGCAGCAGGCGTCAGGGTCGGGATCGAACCCACGACCTCCTGTATACCAGGCAAGGTAGTTAACATCTCTTAGCCACCGTGATGATGATGAGAGAGAGACACGCAAACTCCAAATATACAGCAGCAGGCGTCAGGGTCGGGATCGAACCCACGACCTCCTGTATACCAGGCAAGGTAGTTAACATCTCCTAGCCACCGTGATGATGATGAGAGAGAGACACGCAAACTCCAAATATACAGCAGCAGGCGTCAGAGTCGGGATCGAACCCACGACCTCCTGTATACCAGGCGAGGTAGTTAACATCTCCTAGCCACCGTGATGATGATGATGAGAGAGAGACACGCAAACTCCAAATATACAGCAGCAGGCATCAGAGTCGGGATCGAACCCACGACCTCCTGCATACCAGGCGAGGTAGTTGACATCTCGCCGCCGCGGCGTCTCCTTTACCCAGGAGAATCTCAAGACTCATCTTCAAGAGGATGCTTGCGACCACGTTGGGGATAAATCTTGATTTAAAGCTTTCGTGACTGCAGGAATTCATATTCCTCGGGTCTTTCGGTAAAGTCACGTAGGTAGGATCAAAGAAAATAACAAAACCCTACGACGTTTCGATCGCAACACAAGTGGTCATCAGGATGATCAGGAATATGACGACCGCTTGTGTTGCGATCGAAACGTCGTAGGGTTTTGTTATTTTCTTTGAAGAAATCTACGTGACTTTACCGAAAGACCCAAAGAATATGAATTCCTGCAGTCACGAAAACTTGAAGGCAAGCCTATTTGGACTTTGCGTAATGGGTGAGCAAAACCGGCGAGCCCGGAGAGAAAATCACGCGGCGCCCTACAAGGGAGCGAACAACTCACATCTCAGCAGAGATGCATTCGAGAATTCCCTGCTCTTACTCCGAAATATGAGTAGGTGAACGAATGAGATGCGGAGCAGTGGGGTTCGTGCGCCGCGCTCGGGAAACCGACGATCTGCGTTAGCTTCCCGAAGAGCAGGGGGACCTCGTGGTAGTGTGGCGGGTTATGTGTCCGAGGCGGTCTTCGGCAAAACCGCAGCGATCGTGCGCGGTGAGGTCTGGTCAAAGACCACGACAGACGCGGTTTGGGGGAGGCACTCATCGGCCAGCCAACCGCCCGCCCGCTGCGTGCGTGTGTGTGTGTGCGTGTGTGTGCGTGTGTGTGCGTGTGTGAGCGCATGTGTGTGTGCGTGCGTGTATGTGTGTGTGCGTGCGTGTGTGTGCGTGTGTGCGTGTGTGTGCGTGTGTGTGCGTGTGCGTGTGTGTGCGTGTGTGCGCGTGTGTGTGTGTGCGTGTGTGCGTGTGTGTGCGTGTGCGTGTGTGTGTGCGTGCGTACGTGTGCGTGTGTGCGTGTGTGTGTGTTCGTGCGTGTGTGTGTGCGCGTGTGCGTGCGTGTGTGTGCGTGTGTATGTGTGCGTGTGTGTGTGCGTGTGTGTGTGTGTGCGTGCATGTGTGCGTGCATGTGTGTGTGCGTGCGTGCGTGTGTGCGTGCGTGTGTGCGTGTGTGTCCGCGCCTGTGATCGTTCGCTGCCCGGGTGGGATCAACGGTAGCCCTCCCCCCGCTGTTCGCAATCATTAATCGTTTATTCACACACTCATGTGAGTCAAAGCAACCGACACGCTGCGGCTGCTTACATCATTTCAGAAATACGCGAACGCTGGTGAGGTCCACAACACATTGGCAAATGTTTCTGCTATCCACCCCAATTGTACAAAAAAACAAACTCAAAACCGCGATCGGTGGACGAGCTTTCTCACGCGCACAGCCGCCCGCAGGCTGGAGCTAGCCCCCCCGCCCCCCTCCCACCCCACATCATCCTCCGGACACAGCGGCTCCAATCGTGTTATTGAAATCCGAAATTAAAGTCCCGGTCTTTTTTTTTTCTCGTTCATCCAGGGCACACGCTTGATAAATAGGTCATGGCTTTTTGCGGACATCGGACCGATCGGTATGAATGAGTCGTAACTTTGTGGCCACTTTACCGCCACCGCCGCCGCTACGGCCCCCTGCGGTGAAGATTTCCTGGCTTGCTTCTTGGCAAGTTGCAGAGGTCGCAATCGGGTACCCGATACCCATACCCTACCCGATACCCGGCTACCCGTACCCGGCCGGGTACGGGTACGGGTACCCATTTGCGACCCTGGTGCAGCCGGGTACGGGTACGGGTACACCGTGAGTCACTGGTGAGTAACCGTTTGTCACTCATTTCGGGTAGGGTACGGGTAGGGAACAGAAACTCGTACCCGGCCGGGTATGGGTACAGGTACCCATTTGCGACCCTGGTGCGGCCGGGTACGAGTAAGGAATTAAAACCCGTTTGCGATCTCTGGCAAGTTGGCATCGTGGTCTGAGATGTGTGTTAGACCTCACGGACTCATTCCTCTGTTGTGACAACAGCAACTGCTGTTGTTGGTTTTTGATTTGGTGCCATTGCATTTGGTTTATTGTTATTATTGCATGGTGGTGGCCATATATGGGATTTGGTCATGAATTATACATATCATACGTGTAACATATATATGATTAGTTATTATGTAATTATATATTTTGTTCTTGGTTCTTTCGGTAAAGTCACGTAGAAGGGAAATAATAAAATAATAAAAATAAAACATAATAAAAAAATGCTCACGACGTTTTATTTTTATTATTTTATTATAATTTCCCTTCTACGTGACTCTACCGAAAGAACCAAGAAGATGCATCATTCTGTTAACTATTATTATTCACTGTTATTATTGACCCCGACGCGGCGTCTGTCCCGACAGGCCCCGATGAGCCCCGCTACTGCAGCTCCGACAGCGTCAACTGCAGCGGCCCCACTGTGCAGCACTACTCCAGCCGGCCGGCGTCCGCACGCGACGGTGAGGAGCCGCTAGCGACGCCTCCGGCCCGGCACAACAGCCACGCGGTTGGGGGGGGGGGGACAAGGGGGGATGGATAGTGGAGCCAGGGATATGGGATAGCGTAAGAGAAAGGGTGAAGGCTGTAGGGTTAGCAATCGGCATTCGGCAAAGGGTTAATTTCTCATGCGATTCTAAAAAACAAGATGTTTCTTAAAACTACCAGGTAAGGCTTCACTGGGCTGTACGACCCTTTTTCAGAGAGGGTAAAAGCTTCAGGGTTAGCAATCGGCATTCGGCAAAGGGTTAATTTATCACGCAATGCTTAAAAACAAGATGTTTCTTAAAACTAACAGGTAAGGACCCAATGGGCTGTACGACTCTTTTTCAGAAACGATCTGCCCAACAGATGATTGCCTCACCAAGTGGCTTAATCACGCGAAAATTCGTAGCAGCCAAATACTCTAAACCGCGCGACGTTGATTATAAATGTGGGTGGGGAAAAAAACAGAGAACCCGGAGAAAAATCCACGCGACCACGGGGAGATAGAGACCGCAAACTCCAAATATACAGCAGGTGTCAGGGTCGGGATCGAACCCACAACCTCCTGCGTACCAGGCGAGGTAGTTAACATCTCCAAGCCACCGTGATGATGATGAGAGAGAGAGACACGCAAACTCCAAATATACAGCAGGTGTCAGGGTCGGGATCGAACCCACAACCTCCTGCGTACCAGGCGAGGTAGTTAACATCTCCAAGCCACCGTGATGATGATGAGAGAGAGAGACACGCAAACTCCAAATATACAGCAGGTGTCAGGGTCGGGATCGAACCCACAACCTCCTGCGTACCAGGCGAGGTAGTTAACATCTCCAAGCCACCGTGATGATGATGAGAGAGAGAGACACGCAAACTCCAAATATACAGCAGGTGTCAGGGTCGGGATCGAACCCACAACCTCCTGCGTACCAGGCGAGGTAGTTAACATCTCCAAGCCACCGTGATGATGATGAGAGAGAGAGACACGCAAACTCCAAATATACAGCAGGTGTCAGGGTCTGGATCGAACCCACGACCTCCTGTATACCAGGCGAGGTAGTTAACATCTCCAAGCCACCGTGATTATGATGAGAGAGAGAGACACGCAAACTCCAAATATACAGCAGGTGTCAGGGTCGGGATCGAACCCACAACCTCCTGCGTACCAGGCGAGGTAGTTAACATCTCCAAGCCACCGTGATGATGATGAGAGAGAGAGACACGCAAACTCCAAATATACAGCAGGTGTCAGGGTCTGGATCGAACCCACGACCTCCTGTATACCAGGCGAGGTAGTTAACATCTCCAAGCCACCGTGATGATGATGAGAGAGAGAGACACGCAAACTCCAAATATACAGCAGGTGTCAGGGTCGGGATCGAACCCACAACCTCCTGCGTACCAGGCGAGGTAGTTAACATCTCCAAGCCACCGTGATGATGATGAGAGAGAGAGACACGCAAACTCCAAATATACAGCAGGTGTCAGGGTCGGGATCGAACCCACGACCTCCTGCGTACCAGGCGAGGTAGTTAACATCTCCAAGCCACCGTGATGATGATGAGAGAGAGAGACACGCAAACTCCAAATATACAGCAGGTGTCAGGGTCTGGATCGAACCCACGACCTCCTGTATACCAGGCGAGGTAGTTAACATCTCCAAGCCACCGTGATGATGATGAGAGAGAGAGACACGCAAACTCCAAATATACAGCAGGTGTCAGGGTCTGGATCGAACCCACGACCTCCTGTATACCAGGCGAGGTAGTTAACATCTCCAAGCCACCGTGATGATGATGAGAGAGAGAGACACGCAAACTCCAAATATACAGCAGGTGTCAGGGTCGGGATCGAACCCACAACCTCCTTCGTACCAGGCGAGGTAGTTAACATCTCCAAGCCACCGTGATGATGATGAGAGAGAGAGACACGCAAACTCCAAATCTACAGCAGGTGTCAGGGTCTGGATCGAACCCACGACCTCCTGTATACCAGGCGAGGTAGTTAACATCTCCAAGCCACCGTGATGATGATGAGAGAGAGAGACACGCAAACTCCAAATATACAGCAGGTGTCAGGGTCTGGATCGAACCCACGACCTCCTGTATACCAGGCGAGGTAGTTAACATCTCCAAGCCACCGTGATGATGATGAGAGAGAGAGACACGCAAACTCCAAATATACAGCAGGTGTCAGGGTCTGGATCGAACCCACGACCTCCTGTATACCAGGCGAGGTAGTTAACATCTCCAAGCCACCGTGATGATGATGAGAGAGAGAGACACGCAAACTCCAAATATACAGCAGGTGTCAGGGTCGGGATCGAACCCACAACCTCCTGCGTACCAGGCGAGGTAGTTAACATCTCCAAGCCACCGTGATGATGAGAGAGAGACACGCAAACTCCAAATATACAGCAGGTGTCAGGGTCGGGATCGAACCCACAACCTCCTGCGTACCAGGCGAGGTAGTTAACATCTCCAAGCCACCGTGATGATGATGAGAGAGAGAGACACGCAAACTCCAAATATACAGCAGGTGTCAGGGTCGGGATCGAACCCACGACCTCCTGCGTACCAGGCGAGGTAGTTAACATCTCCAAGCCACCGTGATGATGATGAGAGAGAGAGACACGCAAACTCCAAATATACAGCAGGTGTCAGGGTCGGGATCGAACCCACGACCTCCTGTATACCAGGCGAGGTAGTTAACATCTCCAAGCCACCGTGATGATGATGATGAGAGAGAGAGACACGCAAACTCCAAATCTACAGCAGGTGTCAGGGACGGAATCGAACCCACGACCTCCTGTATACCAGGCGAGGTAGTTAACATCTCCAAGCCACCGTGATGATGATGAGAGAGAGAGACACGTAAACTCCAAATATACAGCAGGTGTCAGGGTCGGGATCGAACCCACAACCTCCTTCGTACCAGGCGAGGTAGTTAACATCTCCCAGCCACCGTGATGATGATGAGAGAGAGAGACACGCAAACTCCAAATCTACAGCGGATGTCAGGGTCGGGATTGAACCCACGACCTCCTGTATACCAGGCGAGGTAGTTAACATCTCCAAGCCACCGTGATGATGATGAGAGAGAGAGACACGCAAACTCCAAATATACAGCAGGTGTCAGGGTCTGGATCGAACCCACGACCTCCTGTATACCAGGCGAGGTAGTTAACATCTCCAAGCCACCGTGATGATGATGAGAGAGAGAGACACGCAAACTCCAAATATACAGCAGGTGTCAGGGTCTGGATCGAACCCACGACCTCCTGTATACCAGGCGAGGTAGTTAACATCTCCTAGCCACCTTGATGGTGGTGATGAGAGAGAGAGACCCGCAACCTCCAAATATACAGCAGGTGTCAGCGTCAGGATCGAACCCACCACCTCCTGCGTACCAGGCGAGGTAGTTAACATCTCCAAGCCACCGTGATGATGATGAGAGAGAGAGACACGCAAACTCCAAATATACAGCAGGTGTCAGGGTCGGGATCGAACCCACAACCTCCTGCGTACCAGGCGAGGTAGTTAACATCTCCAAGCCACCGTGATGATGATGAGAGAGAGAGACACGCAAACTCCAAATATACAGCAGGTGTCAGGGTCGGGATCGAACCCACAACCTCCTGCGTACCAGGCGAGGTAGTTAACATCTCCAAGCCACCGTGATGATGATGAGAGAGAGAGACACGCAAACTCCAAATATACAGCAGGTGTCAGGGTTTGGATCGAACCCACGACCTCCTGTATACCAGGCGAGGTAGTTAACATCTCCAAGCCACCGTGATGATGATGATGAGAGAGAGAGACACGCAAACTCCAAATATACAGCAGGTGTCAGGGTCTGGATCGAACCCACGACCTCCTGTATACCAGGCGAGGTAGTTAACATCTCCAAGCCACCGTGATGATGATGAGAGAGAGAGAGACACGCAAACTCCAAATATACAGCAGGTGTCAGGGTCTGGATCGAACCCACGACCTCCTGTATACCAGGCGAGGTAGTTAACATCTCCAAACCACCGTGATGATGATGATGAGAGAGAGAGACACGCAAACTCCAAATATACAGCAGGTGTCAGGGTCTGGATCGAACCCACGACCTCCTGTATACCAGGCGAGGTAGTTAACATCTCCAAGCCACCGTGATGATGATGAGAGAGAGAGACACGCAAACTCCAAATATACAGCAGGTGTCAGGGTCTGGATCGAACCCACGACCTCCTGTATACCAGGCGAGGTAGTTAACATCTCCAAGCCACCGTGATGATGATGAGAGAGAGAGACACGCAAACTCCAAATATACAGCAGGTGTCAGGGTCGGGATCGAACCCACAACCTCCTGCGTACCAGGCGAGGTAGTTAACATCTCCAAGCCACCGTGATGATGATGAGAGAGAGAGACACGCAAACTCCAAATATACAGCAGGTGTCAGGGTCGGGATCGAACCCACAACCTCCTGCGTACCAGGCGAGGTAGTTAACATCTCCAAGCCACCGTGATGATGATGAGAGAGAGAGACACGCAAACTCCAAATATACAGCAGGTGTCAGGGTCTGGATCGAACCCACGACCTCCTGTATACCAGGCGAGGTAGTTAACATCTCCAAGCCACCGTGATGATGATGAGAGAGAGAGACACGCAAACTCCAAATATACAGCAGGTGTCAGGGTCGGGATCGAACCCACGACCTCCTGCGTACCAGGCGAGGTAGTTAACATCTCCAAGCCACCGTGATGATGATGAGACAGAGAGACACGCAAACTCCAAATATACAGCAGGTGTCAGGGTCTGGATCGAACCCACGACCTCCTGTATACCAGGCGAGGTAGTTAACATCTCCAAGCCACCGTGATGATGATGAGAGAGAGAGACACGCAAACTCCAAATATACAGCAGGTGTCAGGGTCGGGATCGAACCCACAACCTCCTGCGTACCAGGCGAGGTAGTTCACATCTCCAAGCCAC